CTCCATGGTTCTAGCGATTAAGACCATTCATTTTAAAGTTCAAAAGGCAGCCGAGACCAGTGAGCCCCCTTCGGTTGCTTCCCCCCTTAAATCTCATATCAAGTTACCCAAAGTAGAATTACCTAGCTTTTCTGGTGATATTACGACATTTGTGCCTTTCATGGACATGTTTAATAATCTCATTCATAAATCGAGCGATTTAACCGCTGTAGAAAAATTTAATTATTTGCTTTCCGCGTTGAAAGGAGAAGCTAGAGCGCTAATAGAAAATCTACCAGTCACGGATAATAATTATTTAACAGCATACTCCGAACTCCATAATCGTTACAAAAATGATAGACAAATATTGCAAGCCCATTGGATTGCGATTGTTAACGCACCCAAGATTCATTCGGAGCATCCGCAGGAATTGCGAACACTTATAGACACGTTCTCAACTCATTTGAAAGCTATTCGTAATTTTACCCTTCCTATAGATCTAGCGGATTTTTTATTATTCAATGTAATGCATCAAAAGCTAGACTCGTCATTGATAACGCGATTCGAACTTCACCACAATTCTAAAGAAATTCCCACTTATCATAAACTGTATCAGTTTTTAGAACACCAATGGAGCGCGTTAGGCAATGCCATCCCAGTTAAACCTCAACAGAAAAAGTTCAGTCCACATAAGTCTTTTACGCCACAACCGCGATTTACCACGTCTTTAGTGGCGAAGTCAGAGTCTGTAAAGTGTCCTGTTTGTACCTCGCCTCATTTAATCTACAAATGTCTGGAGTTTCTCGGGAAATCTCCCCGTGAACGCTACGCCATTTCTAAGTCGAAACACTTGTGCCTCAATTGTCTTAGTAATTGTCATGTGAGTAAGGCGTGCCAGTCTACTCACAGTTGTCGTCACTGCGGTAAGAGGCATCATAGTCTATTACATTTCGAAGCGTTTCCGAGCGGCGATTGTCAGGTGCCGAATTCTGCGGAAGCTACCTCCATCAAACCAATGAGTGGAGTTGGATTTGCATCGCCAGCAATGGGAGTTTTATTGGCTACCGCTTTAATAGAAGTTCGCGATAACGGCGGAAATTCTAAGGTTCTTAGAGCGCTGCTGGACTGTGGCTCACAAAGTTCCTTCATTTCGCAACGAGCCTTCCAATTGCTAGGTCTGTCTAGACGACATACTTCAGGTCTGGTGCAAGGTTTGGGTCAAGTAGTTACGGCAGCCAATTTAGGTTCAGTGATAATAACGGTTCGACCGGTAGGCCAGTTAACGCCCACTTTCAAGGTAAATGCGCTAATTTTACCCAAGATCTGTGATGACTTGCCCTGTGCGTCACTTTCGGCCGAACATTGGTCTCATTTTCGTGCCAAGCTACCGCTCGCAGATCCTTCCTGTGTCTCTCGTGCAGGTATCGATATGCTTTTAGGAGCGGATGTCTATTCACAACTGCTTAGTGGAGAGGTGGTTAAGGGTCAGAAGGGAGAACCAGATGCGCTAGGGACAGCCTTGGGCTATGTATTAGTAGGGCAACATACCGCTAGTACTGCTAATACGAATCTTCATTCCTTTATTACCACGGTTAACACATGTTGCGAATTAGAAAGATCTATTCAGAAATTGTGGGAAGTGGAAGCAGTTCCTCGCTTACAGACTTTGTCTCCAGATGAGGAACTCTGCGAGGACATTTACAATAAAACTTACACTCGCACCGACAAAGGTCGGTTCGTCGTATCTCTACCGTTTCGCGATACCCCGCCCACTTTCGAAGACAGCCGGTCAATCGCAATCAATCGGTTCCTTCATCTGGAGGCCAAACTGTTAAAGCAACCGCAGTTGTATGCGCAGTATTCTAAGTTCATGCAAGAATATTTAGAGTTTAATCATATGGAACCTGTTCTTCCTCCGGATGACACCATTGCCACTTATTATATCCCACACCATTGTGTACTTAAGCCAGCCAGTTTAAGCACAAAACTGTGCGTTGTGTTCAACGCGTCCGCACGATCCTCTAATCAAACCTCCTTAAATGAGCATCTTCTTATCGGTCCCAAACTTCAAAGGGATATTTGCACTATCTTATTGAATTTTCGCCTCCATACGTACGTCTTGACTGCCGACATCAAAATGATGTATCGCCAAATCTTAATCAATCCGGTTCAGTGCAATTTTCAGAGGATTATTTGGCGTTTTACTCCTGAACAACCCATTCAGGATTATCGTTTAAAAACTCTAACGTATGGAACCTCGCCCGCTCCCTATCTGGCCATTCGTACTCTGTTAAAATTGAGCGAGCAGGATGGTTCGTCGTTTCCATTAGCCGCTGCCGCCCTCCAGACGGACACCTACATGGACGATATTGTTACTGGTAACAATTCTTATCAACAGACTTTAAAGTTGAAAGATGAACTTATTGCACTCCTTAAGGGTGGAGGATTTGAACTTCGCAAATGGGCTACCAATGATAGTTCGCTTGTCTCTGACCTTCCTCCGTCTCATGTTTGTCTTGATGCCATTAATATACGAGAGGAAGATCGTAATGACACTCTTAGAATCTTGGGATTGCAGTGGAATCCCGTATCCGACGCTTTCAAATTTACAGTTCATATTCTTCCCGACAACTGCACTAAACGCCATCTTTTATCCAGTCTCGCACGCATTTTTGATCCTCTTGGCATATTGACTCCGCTTACTTTTTTCATAAAACATTTAATTCAACGCATCTGGACTCTCAAGTTAGCTTGGGACGACGCACCGCCGAATGATATTTTGCGCGCTTGGAATATCTTCGCTAGGGATCTTTCCGTTCTAAACGATTTTTCGTTACCGCGCCGCCTCCTTTGCGATAATTTCCTCTCGTGTGAAATTCATGGTTTCGCTGACAGCTCCGAGAAGGGCTATGCCGCCGTAGTTTATTTGGTTTTTAGGTTCGCCTCGCTTGAACCACGCACGCAGTTTGTTTGTGCTAAATCTAAAGTAGCACCGCTCAAGAAGATTACGATTCCAAGGCTGGAACTTTCTGCCGCAATATTGCTAACACGGCTCCTCAATCTGGTTTGCCGAATTTACAAAGACAAAATTCCTTTTAATCGCCTATGTGCTTGGACAGACTCCCAGATAGTTCTAGCTTGGATCAAATCTTCGCCGCATCGTTGGAAGACATTTGTCTCCAATCGCGTCTCGTTTATTCAAGAGCATCTGCCCTCCTCGTCGTGGTACTATGTTCCTTCCGGTCAGAATCCAGCTGATCTTGGGTCTAGAGGGGCATACCCTCAGGAGTTGCTGGTTAGTTCCCTATGGTGGGCGGGACCCCCTTTTTTGAAGTTCGGCACGCCTCTCAATAATAATCTGACGCCTTCTGTCCCTGTCTCCATTCAGGACGAAGAACGCACGCAATCGTGTAAGGCGATAGTGACCACCTCTTTATTGGACGACTTAGTCAATACGCACTCATCTCTGCCGAAGATTATTCACATTCTTTGTTATGTACGCCGATTTATTCGTGGAATGACTAGACCTACAAAAAGCGCCCCCCCGTATATCACTTCATCGGAATGGTCCGAAGCCTTGATGACGGTGGTCCGACATATACAAGCTTTCCATTTCTCTAGGGAAATTGACTTCCTTAATCGTGGAAAACCGCTACCGAAGGGTTTTCAAAATCTCTCCCCTTTCTTAGACGATCAAAAGATTCTTCGAGTCGGCGGTAGATTACGACAGGCTCCGTTACCCTACTCGAAACGCTTTCCCGCTTTGTTACCGTCTGGGCATCGTTTCACCTCTATGCTCATAGAATACACGCATAGCAAATATTTTCACGCTGGACATCAGACGGTTCATTACCTTATCGGTAACCAATTTTGGATTATGTCCGCCAAACGCGCGATAAGACGGGTGCTCTCTAAGTGTCTAAGATGTTTCCGTACCCAACCGGTATCCACTCAACCACGCATGGGGGATTTGCCTCCTTCTCGGTTTTCTAAAATTAAACCATTTTTACGAGTTGGGGTGGACTACGCCGGCCCCTTTTCTATTACCATGGCCAAAACGCGCGGTGCTAAAACGCTAAAAGCGTATTTATGTCTATTCATATGCTTTGCGACGAAAGCTCTACATTTGGAGCTCGCCTCAGATTTAACCGCCGACGCCTTCCTAGCGGCGTTACGACGCTTTCTTGCGCGGCGAGGGAGATGCCAGCATATCTATTCCGATTGTGGTACTAATTTTGTTAGTGCCCACAAACAATTAGATCAATATATGCGCGAAGCTGTACAGTCGGAACAGATTCATTGGCATTTCAATCCGCCATCAGCTCCACACTTTGGTGGTTTGTGGGAGGCCGGTGTCAAATCGGTAAAGACCCACCTAGTCCGTGTCATAGGCCACCAAATCTTAACCTACGAAGAGCTCTTAACTTTAGTCTCTCAGGTCGAAGCAATGCTGAATTCCCGTCCGCTTCATCCTGTAAGCAGCGACCCAAACGACTTGACCGCACTGACTCCCGGCCATTTTCTTACGTTTGCCCCTTTAATTGCACTCCCAGAACCGGACCTTGAAGACGTGCCGGTGAACCGCCTAACTCGCTGGCAGCTAGTTCAAAGCTTTGTCAAATGTATTTGGTCGCGATGGAGTGCCGAATATCTCCATACATTGCATCAGCGGTCGAAATGGTCTGCCGAGAAACCTAATTCTATCGCGGTCGGATCCCTCGTCCTTATCAAAAACGAGGTGATACCCCCTCTGCAGTGGCGTCTCGCCCGAGTCCTACTTCTCCATCCGGGACAAGATGGCATAGTTCGGGTTGTCACCTTGAAAACCGCCGGTGGAGTCCTAAAGCGCCCAGTGGCCAAACTTTGTCCACTCCCTGCAACTTTGCAGTAAAAAAAAAAACCTTTTTGTTTTTTTTTTTTTTTGGTGAGCGGAATGTCTCGTCCCCAACTCAATATTTATTTAGTTTTAGTTTAATTTGTATCGCTTGGTGCAGTACTGCGCCCGCAACCCTCGCTACACTGGTGGCCGACCTATTGCGGCCCTTTTTTCTTTTGGTGACCGCTTGAGTAGCAACCAGTCGAGTGGACTGGACGCGCATTGTGAAGTCGTAGTCGTACCGGCAGCGACATAACCCGCCATCTTGTCGTTGATCCCGCTTTATGATTCCCGCTATTCTTATAACCCCGCTATTGTTGTACCCGCTATTATTATAACCCCGCTGTTGTTGTATCCGCTATTGTTCTAACCCGCCATTGTTGTACCTGCTACCGCTATAACCCGCGTCAGGGCATAACCCTATTTCGCGCACCCCCTGCCGAGTGCTTTCTCCAGGAGCACCCCAGCCATTACCTCCAAGCCAAGATCACTCAGAACGCACAGCTCGGAAAGTCCAACTCATCTCACTCTGGTAAGCTACATTATTTAATAAAAAAGTATATGAACTTCAACTTGCAGACGGAAATTATAGTGTTATTAAAAAAGGAAGTGGAAAAATAATTGTAAGCACCAACGATTTATATGACGCCGTAAAAACGGCCCACCAATCTACAGGTCATGGAGGGTCACATTGAAAGAGTTAAATGAAAAGTTTGCCAACATTTCTCAAGAAATTGTGTCTCTCTTCATTGAAGGGTGCGACAGTTGTCAAATGAAGAGAAACAAAACCAGAAAAGGACTTGTAGTAAGACCTATAACGTCCCATACTTTTAATTCTCGATGTCAAGTCGACCTCATAGATCTACAGACACGTCCTGATGGATGTTACGAATTTATATTTGTTTACCAAGACCATTTAACGAAATTTGTTCGCCTACGACCACTGAAAACAAAAACGGCCAAAGAAGTTGCTTACAATTTAATTGATGTGTTCACAGATTTAGGTAGTCAATGTATTTTACAAAGTGACAATGGAAGAGAATTTGCTAATCAGGTGAGTACCAATAGTTAAAATTATTCGATTACACTGACTGATAAGATATACGTAATAATAATTAATTCAAAACATGGATTATTTCTAAAAAGTTGATGTTCTTGTGTGGTTTGGTCTTTAATAAAAAATAATTGCAGATTATCGAAGAATTGGTGACAATGTGGCCTGAATGTCACATTGTTCATGGTAAACCAAGACATTCACAGTCACAAGGGTCAGTAGAACGGGCAAACCAGGATATAGAAAATAAACTAGCCTCATGGATGAAAGACAATAATACGACCAAGTGGAGCGAGGGACTTCGGTTTATTCAATTTTCTAAAAATCGGTATAAAATAATTATGCATCTCCTCTTTTCGGTGATTTTGATTCGTTTTTTAGATGTTATCACTCAGGCATTGGACGAAGCCCTTAAGAAGCTTTATTTGGAATATCTTGTAGAGACGGATTAAATAAGCTTCCTATTTCTGCAGACAGGATAAGAAATTTAAGAACCGAAGAGGATTTAGAGGCTTTATTGAGTAATACACAAACAAGTACAATAGAAGAAGTTGAAAAAGAAACTGAGGCAGTAGTAGTAGAGATAGAAGAAGTTGAAAAAGAAATTGAAGCAGTAGTAGTAGAGGTCGAAGAAGTTGAAAGAACTGCTGAAGGAGAAATGGTTGTCGAGATGATTACCTGTTAGTTCATTTAAATTACTATTTTTTGTCAAATATAGGGATGAATAGCCAAATTTTTATTAGCATTTAACCATCTATCTACATGATATTTCTAATATACTTACAATTAAAATTTAATACATTTATTTAAGCATGTCTTGATTACAATTGATACTTATGAGATAATTATATTTACAATAGTACGCTGCTGAGGCTTAGGACCTTTTCAGCGCTTCTAATATACATACAAATTTTGAAAACAATTAGTCCAGCAGTTTGGAAGATCACGTGTCTAATAAAAATGATACAGACACCAGACAGACAGACGGAAACGGGAGACTACTTTTTTCGTACAGTAGGGGTCATGAAACGTCGAGAAAACTTAAAAACAGCCATTCGTCCAATGGCTCACTACTATACTTTCTTAGCTTCTGCAGTATTCGGTTTTGCAAGTTAAATTATAACATGTTGTTACAAAATTTTGCTTTTTTCCAAAAATTGGATGCCTAGAGTCAACACGTTATCATTCCACACATACAGAAGCATGTGATTTAACATTTAGAAAACATTTATTTGGCAATGGGGGCAGGAGGATAAACGAAAAAGTTTTCATTAAGGATTAACCATACTTACGAAAACCTTAAAACGTTTGCAAGATTTTTGCAGTTTCAGATTTAAATTGGAAAAATGTTAGTGTACAATTTTGATTTGTTTTCCAGGATAAAAATGCAACCCGGATTCATAAATCATAAGTGCATGAACATATTATTTTATAAAGTTAAATAACATTTACTAATGTAAATTTTGGAGATGACGTGAACCAATTGTTGATGGAGATGATTAGCCAATTTTGATTAGCATTTTATCATCTACACGATATTCTTAACAAACATACAAAATTTGACAACAATCGGTCCAGTAATTTCGGAGTTTATCCGTCTAAAAAAACCGGTCAGACGGCAGACACGACAGACTTACAAGCAGAAGGAAACGGGGACACATTTTTTTTCTACTCGTGGAGCCATGAAACGTCGAGAAAACATGAAAGACGTCAGTCCTCCGTTGGACTCGATAATAATATATATATATATATATATATATAGCTCCTTAACGTACGCTCGGGAAGCATAAATAAAGGTGGGTACGCATCGCGACGCCAACACTATATATGCGCCACATTTACAATGTACTTGGTTAAGCTGTGGTCTTGAAACTAAAAACAATGACTTTTCCAGAATCTTAATATAATGAACCGTTCTCAAAATATAATTTTTCTACCGCCCACGTTTTTTGGTTTTCTAATAGAGCCATTAACGCACGCAAATGACGTCACAGCAGTTCATTAATAGCGGAAAGGCGTTCTTTAATAGATCTGGTGTAATTTAGATCGGTAAGATTGGTAGCCATGACGAGAAACGTCAGGTGAATGTCAGTGGCAAATGTAAACTTAAAATTTCCCATGTTTCCGGACGCGTAACTTCTTCGCAAGACATTTTAACCAATTTTAAATTACAAAAACTCGAATTGATTCGAATTACAATTGTTGTTGTGAAAATTCGAACCTCAAATATTTCGTGGTTAGTGTCAGACCAACCCATCACCAACCACGACAAAAGTCCCCAGATTAAAAAAAATGCAAATTTCAATTAAATTTTGGGAAAAAACGTGTGCGGTAGAAAAAATAGTATAAATAACTCGTTCATAAGGCCATTGAGGCACTCATCCTTTATATAACTCGCGGCTTCGCCGCTCGTTCTATAAACTTGGATTCGTGCCTCAATATTTGCCTTATGAAACTCGTTCTTTAATATACTAATAATGAACTAATGCACAATTTCTTCTTTTATACTGCAACAATATTTTTATTTTATAATACAGTATTTTGTCTGCTACTAGATCTGAAAATTTTAAGAATTTGCTTAATTTGTAAATTTGATTTTAATTTATAAGAAATGCACAATGTTTTGAAATTAAATGAAACCAATTTAATTTACAGTCAATTTACAATTTGTTGTTCTTCTTTTCCGTCTTTGCCATTTTTTATTAAATATTTAGAAATGTTGGTGAAAAGTTTGTAATCATTTCAGCTTGTTAGTAGGATCGTTTTCTTTTCTTATAAGATTGATGATGAGCATGCGTTGTCAGTAATTTCATTATCGCCACAAAGCGAGTCTAATGCGGTTAGTTCGATGGATTTTGGCGGAAGTACATCCCATCAATCATGGTCTAATTTTAAGTGGCTAGACTTGATTGTCTTTAAGTTGATTATTCATATCCGGATAAAGTGAGCTTGTATCATGGCAATTAAATAATTTAATGACGCATGTCAAAGTTGTCGGTTTAAATCCTCACACTTCATCACGAGCACTCATCGGATTAATTTTCTCTCAAAAATAAGTACTCGTTTTTGATTTATTAATGATACTTTGTTTACCTCAAAGAAATACATAGAGAAATATATCTATATATTCTGTAAAAAAGGAATACTGGTACTGTAGTCGTTAAGATATTAAGTGAGAATAGAACACAACATATTATGCAGGGTACACTGATTAACTGATATGAAATATTTGCAAGTTGCAAACGACCTATTAAAAATATATAAGTAATATTGCGAGCACGGAATGTCGGAACACAATTTGTGAAACACTTCTTACGCATCGTATAACCTTTCTTATAAAAATCCTGCCCGAGATTTCGTGCCCGCAACAGTACATATTAAGGAAACTGCACTATAATAGCACCGATTTAGAGAATTTTAAAATAAAAAAATGTCATTTATGCACAATAGTATAGATATAGTCACTTGCATTTTTATTTCTTGAACGTAAGCTAAGGAAGTATTGTAATCGAGTCCATCGGGCGACTAATTGTTTTCCAATTTTCTCGATGGGTCCATGACCCCTAGAGTACGAAAAAATGGGTCCCTCGTTTCCGTCTGGCCATCTGTTTGTTTGTCTGTCAGTCTGTCTGCCGTCTGTCCGGATTTTTATTAGACAGATATTCTCCGAAACTTCTGGACTGATTATTGTCAAATTTTATATGTGTATTTATAATATCATGTAGATGGTAAAACGCTAAACACACTTTGTGTAATCATTCCTACCAACAATGTGATGACTTTACCTCAAAACTGTACATAGTAAATTGGGCTTAAATTGTATAAAATAACTTAGTCCTACACGTGTTATGAATCCGTGTTGACTTTTTACCCGAAACGTTCAGATTTTTGGAAAAAAATCGATCGAAAGTTGTTTCGACAGAACTTCCCTCACTCCTGAAGTACATTGAAACATATTCAGCATTTTCGAGTTGAGTTTTTTCTTTACACAATTTTGCAGTTGTCATCAACATTTTTCTAAGGACACGTATATCAACTTGGATTGGTGCAGTGTACTACTAAAAATAACAGTATTGTACTCCCAAAATTTTCTGGGAACATGGAGTGAGCCGCTCCTGATTTAATCAATAAAATAAATTGACTCATTCATTAATTTTTTGAGCCACCTGTGTAAGCAAATTTAAATAATTATAAAACAGAAAACACAGCCTCACGCATACACAACTTTTTCCCAATTGGCTTCGCAATTGCATCCTCTCATGATCTAATCGAGTGACTCCCCGCCCACTGTCCTCGTCGTCTCGAGCATGATACAAGTAAATATGGTATGGACATACGCAGGTTTGCTGACGTCACCTGGCTGTATTCAGGCGGGAAATTGAAATATTTACCGAGCCCAACTAAAGTCACTAGATCTACTATTACTTTTAGAAAGTACGGCAAACTGCCTGTGATCGGAATTCGACAGAGAGGAACCTAACCTATGTGTTAAACAAAGATAGCGCGAGGCTAGTAATTTTCGCTATCTGTCAACGAAAGGTTGATGTGTTTACGATTTGAGGTTACGACAGACTGTACTAGAATTATTGAGTTAACGGACCGGAAAGAACACTATTCCAGTCCCAAAGTAACTCCAGCCCTATTCAACGAGAAAGTGTCACCGGTAACCAGCAAACAGTCGTGGAAGACGTGTTACCACCAAGGCAATTGACGGCCAAATGACAGTAACAGGATCGCCATACTGGAAGCAAAAAATACCTGCTGTAGAAAAGACGGAGCATAACAAGGACACAGATATTTTCTTATTATTTGCTATCATCCCCGCTATTTTTTTAACAACGCTAGGTCGCTAGCAAACCACCAATTTGTTTTTACGCATCAGTTTGGTAACAATAAACAATAACCCTCATAACCACAAAAACTCATAACTGCCTCATAACCCTTAAAATTGATATTTGACATCAGATGTCAACACAGAAGTGGAAGGTCATTCATTCCACATGACGTCAGATAACGTTGCGCAGAAGAAGACGAGTTTTGGTTCATGGGATGTCCATACCATATTTACTTGTATCATGGTCTCGAGCTTCCGCACACTGTTATGTCTACTAGGTTGTTTATATACACTTGCCTGAACGTGCGAAGTCGCCGGTATAGAAATGACACGGTCAGTGGCGTAACTAAATATAGACGCGCCCCCCGCAAAGTTAAAGTTATACCCCCTTATATTTAATAATAATAAAATAATAATTATTAAGTTAATACTTACGTGCCAAAATAATACTCATTATAGCTTAATTGATAAAAATTAGACTTTTCCTCTGTTTTCAGCAGACAAAATCAGTACCAGTTAATTTTATTTTTAAACAAATGCATATGTACTGCCGCTTAAATCTACAGCCTGATTAAGAGGTATTCTTCCAGTCACAAACTAGTTCGGGATAGCCTGTTTCCCGCATGAACGGTTCCGGGAATACGGGAAGCAGGCTTCAAGATATACCGGACGAGCTTCCCCGTAGCAATATCCCATACGAAAGGTGGCAAAATACGTCATTCTGGCCGCCTCCAGTGAACAATACATTTTGATTTTTGTAATGCAGAAAATGGTAGAAGACAATTTCTCAGTCAGATGTACAAGATAAGTATTCCACTTCAGCTCATTATCCAAGTGAACTCCCAATAATGTTATGATTTTTTTTCCGCAGCTGTTGTACTAAATTGAATTTTTACTTCCCGAACGTAAGTGAAGGAAGTAATGCAATCAAGTCCGTCGGCCGACTCTCCACTTTTAAGTTTTCTCGACCT